CCGCGCCCGCCCTGCGCCGCCCGCCGCCGGCCGCCTCCTCCCGCCAGCCCTCCCGCCCAGCCAAATAAGGACTGGGGAGCCGCGCCGAGGGGGGAGGCAGGGGGAGCAAGAGGGAGAGCCGGGCAGGACAGAGGGAGGGAGGGAGAGAGAGAGGCAGAGGGGAGAGGAGCAGAGGAGGAGACGAGAGACCTAGCAAGCCAGCCCCAGAGAAAACTAGACCCGGAAGCACAGATAACTACGGAGAAAAGGGGAGAAAGGGGGATAAAGGGGGACGGAGGCAAGGAAAGACCTAGGAAAGCCGTGCGTGTGTGAGCAAGGAGACACAACCAGAGGTAGTCACAGGTCCAGAAATAAGGAAAAAAAAAAAAAAAAAAAAAAAAAAAAAAAAAAAAAAAAAAAGCCAGGAAAGAAAACCGGGGCAAAGGGCCCGGCAAAGAACCAGCAGGAACACAGAGCTCCAGAGAGCTGCAGATAAACTGATGCTACAGAAAATCAGGGGAAGGGAAGGGACTGCGAGGCAAGCCCCCTCCTCCACCCTCCAGCTGAAGTGCAGCATGTTTCACTGTAGCTGGAGCAGACTTAGGCCCTTGCTGCCTTGCCCCTTAACGTGTGGATGAGGAAATTGAGGCATAGGGAGGGGAAATGCCACATTGTGAGTTGGTGACAGCAGGGGACTCAGCTAGGATTTCCTCCCCATACACATTCTTGTCCCCACTGCAGGGCCTGAGAAACCACCAGGGCCAGCTGTGGACTTGGGCTCTGCTCCCCAGGGACTTCTAGCTTGGCCTCCACAGCATGGCCTGGAGGGCTCGGGATGGTGCTGATGCCGGCTTGGGGTAACCACAAGACTGAGACCTGACTGAAATGGGGCAGGTGGGGCTCAGATGAGCAGGTTTAATGACAGACTGGAGGAACTGGGGTGGAGGCTCCCCATGTCTCCATTTCTTCATTTGTTGACATGGCCACCATGGTGGCAAGGAGGCACTGTCAGTGAGACCTCACATGAGGTGTGGCTGTCCCTTTCAGAGCCTCCTGTCCTTATCTCCCCATGAAGTGTCATGGCAGATGATCCCTCAGAACAGCTCTAGACTTGGATGTCTGGGTGAGCAGAATGACTGGAATGCAGATATCCATGCAAAGAAAAGTCAGGAGGTCCTTCACGGGACCCTGGCACAGTCACACGGAGAGATATGGGAGGGGCCCAAAGCCAAGAGAAGGCTCAGGTGACAGTTAACCAGAAATGAGGATGCCATCTGCCACATCCTGGGCTGGCCCATCACCACCAGGCTCTGCACTTCTCCAAAGGTGTACTAGAAGTGCCTCAAACCTGCTCTCCATCCCATGAGTATTTATGGAGATTCTGCTGGGTGTTTGTTTTGGTGCATTATATTTGCTATCTCTAGTCTCTCCCCATCTTGAAAGGGAGGCTTTCTTATGCTTATGACCGTTTTATAAATGGAGACACTGAGGCTAACAGCAACACAAGTGGTCCTACAAGCTCACTCAGCTGGGAAGAGGTCAGTCTGTCTGCCTCCCAAGACCCATTCTCTTCTTCATGACTGTTTAAGCCTTGAGTTTTCTATCTATAAAATGGGATAGATCACTATACACCTCTACCTATCCAGGGAGTTGGTTTTAAGGGCTCAAAGGAAGCCACATGTGTGCAAGTGAGAGGATATGCGAGCCTCTGGTGACTTTAGCTCTCTAGGATTTGGGTTTCTGTAGCAGAGCCTGATGGGAAGGCCCTGAGTTTGGAGTCATTGTCTCTTTTCTTCACCAAAGAAGGTCTTGGATTCTTTGCAGCCATAAGCTGCCCATAACTCAGCCTCAGCCTATTACAGCCTTTTCCCCTGGCATCTTCTGTCTCACTAGAAGAAAAGATCCATATTTCCCAGCATTGCAAGGGTGGGCAACAAGCTCGCTCTATGTACTATCATGTGTTGGCTTCCAGTCGTAATTACTCCAGAAGCTACCTTCCCTAAAGTGCATCTAGATGCACAAGTGGCTTGCGAGACCTGCTTACAGGGTGGGGGATGCTGTGTGTCCAGGTCTGCACACACTGACTGCCAAGCCAGACCACTGGATAGATGAGAGGTGATATTAGAAGTGAAAGAGCTTTGGAAAGGGAAAAAAATTCTCTTTGGGGGTAAGGCATTTATTATTAATAATGATGAATCTTGTTCTCACAGCACTTCAGGACTGGCAAGTCCTTTAGAGATCATCTAGCTCAGCCTTCTCATGTTACAGATGAGGAAACTGAGGCCCAGAGAGTAGGAAGGGAGTCACTGAAGGTCGCACAGTGAGTGAGGGGAGCAGGGCTCATGCTCCATGTAGCACCTACTGTGTATGGAACAATAACATCTGTCATGAGGACAGCCTCCGTAGTGGCTGTGGAGTCCAAGAGTCTGGTCTTTTTCCTGCTCTTTCTCCATCTGTCCTTGAGGGGAACATGGATGGGGCCATGCTGGTGCAGTATAGGTTTCTGAGTGGCTCCCAGACTTACAGGCAGGAATCTTCTCCTCTTGCTCTGAATCTGGTTGGATTGTGCCAAAGAACTAGTGGCCCATCACCCTTCTTTCCAAGTGGAAAGGAGTGTCTTGGACCCGCCACAGCTGCTTAAGTCTGGCCTGTCACTGCCTCAGGCTTGCTGTGGCATTTCAGGTCAGTCACTCCTTCTTGTTCCTAGGTTTGTACATCTGTAAGTGGAGGTTTTTGTACCAGGAAATCTCCACCCTTCCTTCACATACAACATCTCATTGCTTTCCTGGTCTGTTCATGCCTGCTCCCTGCTTCTCACAAGAATTAAGCACTTCTCTGAAGACTAGGTTGTCAGGAAAGGGACACTAACAGTTGGGATAAGTTGGGGAGAATTTATTATTAGTTATTGCATTCGTTATAAACACAACACAATTATTTCCCAGGTTATTTCCTACTCCATTCCTCTCCAAGCTCCAAACACATCCGAGAACTTTCATTCTTCACAGGACTTATTGGCTCCTGTCAGCTGGGATGCTGATATCTCTTGGTCTCTCCCATCTGCTGCTTTTTGGGCTCCTATTCAGGCTTCAAGAGCTAGCTCAGAGGCCACTCCTTCCCTTGAAGCGTTCCCTCAGTGCCTCCGATTGGAACCTCTGACTACATTCTGTGTCTACAGACTTCTCTTCAAAGTTCCCACTCAGATGGTTACTCTGCCTATGCCCAGATGAGTGGGCCTGTTAATCTCAGTCTTCCCCCTGGCCTGCTGTTTTCTCCAGGGTGGGCAGCCTTCTTCTTGCTGCTCTTCCACTGACCCTGCACCTCAGAGCTGATCACCTATTCCTTTAGGTCCTCAGTACACAAATGAAGGCCTTGAAGAATCCTGTGTCCACTGGGTTCAGGACTAGCAGTGTCAGAGGGAGAGGGTCACAGATGGCCAAGTCCCAGGCAGAAGGACTCAGGCACTGCAGATGGACACTTCTGATGCTGAGTGAGGGAGAAGGGAGGGCAAAGACAGACAAGAGTGTCCAAAGCTCCAAGGAAGCACAGGACAACAGAGAGGGCACTGAACTGCAGTTGGCCCATTTGGGAGAGCTGCACGGTCTCCCCATGCCTCAGCTTCTCTTTTCATATGATGAAAGGGTTAACTTTGTAAATGGGTCTCTTCCCTTTCTGATGTTCTGGGATGCCCCTGAAAGCCCTGTCCCTGTGAACAGCAGTGCTCATGCCGCAGCAGCTGAGAATGTGGCTAGAGACCCTGTTGTTCACTGCTTTTCTGCTTTGCTTACAGGACAATTTGGTTAGAAGCTGGGCAGGAGCAGTGAAGTTAGAAGTCTAGATGTGACCCTGAGTCAGACAGGCTGACACTCTACCCTGCGTGACTGGGGCCTTGTGTGAAAACTCCTATCCACTCTGTCTGGACACAAGTTCCACAGGGTAGGACCAAGACTTCTTTGTGTCTGGACACCTAGCCCTTAGCACTGCAGCCAGTGCAGAGAAGTGCTCTGCAAACACTCTTTCACCACTGCCAGTCAGTGTGGCTGACTTGAACAGGTTGGCTGGACCCATGGTTCACTGTAGGAAGAGGTACCCAGAGTTGTCCCAGCATCAGAAAGGGGCAGGACTTGGAGGGAAGAACGGGGCTCAGGAGCCACTGCAGCAGAAGAAATAGCCACAGAGCACTACGCCAGGGGTGGTGGTCACAGATGGGTCTGATCCAGTGTGCTATGGATGTGACTGAGGTGTTCCATGGTGTATCTCTATAGGGAGAGAAGTCAAGGATTAGCTTGGCTTTACAGAGCATAACTGGTCCCACTGTGGCCAGCTTTCATTTGTCAAGAGCCGCTGTTTGTTTAACATCTCAAGCCCAGATCAAACACAAAAGGCAACTGTGAGCAAAGGGAGACTCTGTGGGCCATGGGAGAGAGCCAGGCTGGGAAGTTGGACACCTGGCCCTCTCTGTTCCATCCCCACTGAGCTGTGAGACCTGGGGAGAGGGCTGTCCCTTCTGACCGAATGAGAGCTCAGATTGAAATAGTGAGGCTAAGCCCAGCCCAGGGTCGGCTGTGGATCTACTGTGAGTGAGAGTGGGCGAGACTGGTTCTCATGGAGCTGCTTTGGGGTGGGTAGTCATTAGTATAAAGCTACACACCCCACATCTAGTGACCCCTTTCCCTAGGCAGGACCTCCTAGGTGCCCTCTATCTCTCTAACCATGAATATTAGTTTTCAATGAACATCTTCGAATTTATGTGTTTGTGGGTCTGCGTGGCTTGTAGCTATGACACAGGCCAGTGGTCACCTTGCATATGTCTGCAG